CTTCTGACTGTTGCTATAGCAACCCCCTGGAAAATTACCTCAGCAGCCACTAAAATTCATTTTTACAAAACTAATTATGGGTATAATTAACTTTTTAAACTTGGTCTGTACTATAAATTTACTCAGACCTATGTGGTTTGGCTTTTTTTTTTTATTTTTAAGTAATTTTATGCAATTTTCCCTTTTTCATGCCTTTGTATAATGCCTAGCTGAGTAGGTACTATTTGGGTGAGAGGCCATATAGCTACTGTGTGTCTCAAAGTAAGACATTTCTTAGCAGGTGGTAAAAATAAACTCGGAGTGCCATGTAGTTGAGACGTAAATGGCTTGCACAGTTGCTGCTACCCGTACAACTGAACTCCCCATGGTAACGCTGGTGGTTACCCGCTTTTGGACTAGCCCTCAGGGCAGCTGCCAGGGTATTTCCAATATCCATATGGTTATTACGATTTTAAATTTTGAAGCTAATAAACTGAGGAAACATCTGGTTTGGGCAGTTGTTGGCAACACTTTTTGTGGAAGTTCATGTTTATGACAAGTCTTGTGGTTTGTTTGCAAGAGTGCATGTGTAGCCATTTCTAGTATATGCTGAAGACTTAGTTGCATTGCAAAGGCTGACTGCAGTATTTGTGCATACATTTTGAGTTAGGCACTTATCCTAAAATACCCTGTGCATATCTATTACGTGCTTAATTTTTTTGTTTGTGCACAGGATTTGTTTGCCCAGTTGAGCGATGTATTTGTCAGTACTTTGTTTAGGGCTGCATTAGGTAAGTGCGTGCTTTAAAGCCATGGTGAATCATTTTTTTAATAAGCAGATATACAAAAAAGTCAATAAAAATTTTCATTTTATTTCACTCCTCACCCATCTGAATTCAGAGACTTGAGACATTTCACATAGCTCTGGCTTTAGAAGTCCTCTTCTGGTTGCAGATAAGCCAGTGGAGGAAGTAACTCCACCCTGCTTTCCTGCTGGAGCTTATGGACTTCCCACACCCCAGGCTGTATCCATGAAATAAACTAGCTTAATTTGAACAATTTCAATAGTGTTTCTTCACTAGTCCAAATCATTTTGACAGAAATGTGTTATCAAGCCATTGCACAAGTGAAAGAGCTGGCATGTGGGGGGCTGGGCAGAGGTGCAGCTAGAGTGGGGCTTGAGCCAGCACAGTTGAAGGTGGAAAAGAATTGGCGTTAGCTAGCATGTTTTGATGTTTTTACTTGAAGTTGCTACTTGCTAAATTAATTTAAAAATAAATTGTTAGTTTAAGAAGCTGTGTAGGGTGCTTAAAGCCTATGCATGCAGTGCTGCATTCCCCTGGTGATCAGAGAACTTCTTTAAACCCCAGCTTTCATGTGGGAGGAAAAAAAAGTTAAATTTCCAACCTTGGTATGAGGAAGATTTGAAAATACAAGTCTTTGTTGTGGCAGTGAATTAAACTATGATAAACCAAATAAATGAAATTCTAAATTTTCAGTGCTACAGAAACAGCTATAATAGTAATATGTGAAAACTGTGTGTGCCGGTAGTATGTCTTTAAATATTACTGGTATTCCAGTTGTCTTTTCTTTTCATGTAAATAGTCACCTGTATTCGTTTACGTATTCCCTCTTAGCATTTTGAAATAGTGAGTCAACTCAACAAATCAGTTATTCAGAAAAATCAGACTGTCACCCCACTCCTCGTAATGCGATTCAAAAATCTATTCTTGTGGTTCAAGGAGAGAAATACCTTGGGTTTTGTCTATGTAGTAGTATGGACATAGAAGTATAGTCTTACGCAGTTAATACAAAAGTCATGATAATGTATTGAGTGTAAGTGTGTTGATTTGTTCCCACTTGCATTTTAGGAAGTTTGCACCTGACTGACAAGAGACAATTCATTTCTGCAATGTATCAAAAATCTTCAGACATGATATCAAGCAGTGGGTACAATGGAAAAGAAAGACCCTGATGTCAATGACAATGATACAAGTTCTTACCCAAAGATAATAGATTTTTTTAATTAATTGTGTTACTTTGTGTTACTCTTGAAGGGAGCTTTGTGTTGCTGCTGCAGGCAAAGCTTTCAGTCTGTTTTTCAGAAACATGTTTAATCCCCCTGAAGTTGATAGCAGAATGTGAAGTTACATGCCCTCATATGGTAACAGGAAGTGTAACTGATCTGCAGAACTGTTAAAATCAGTAGCAGAAAATATCTACTCCTTTGCTTCAGAACAACAATGCACAAACTTCATTAAAATTCCAGCACAAGTAATTCTTCAGCAAAAATGTCTGTTAAAAAAAAAATCAAAACTTAGAAAGACTTTTTTCTATTTAAAAACAACTTCATTGACTATTTGCTGTATGCTCACAGAATGAAAATAGCAATAATAAACGATTGAAAAGTAAGGTTGTGCAACAAAGAACTGCAACATTTTCATTGACATAAATGGATACAATAATATGCTTTTTTTATTAAGCTTTAAGTTAGAAAGAAAAGTGGTAGGGACTAAATGTCATTATTTGAAAACAAATGCAGGATGTATTCTAAATTGCTTTTGTTGGACTGTAGATTCTGCTTATGATTTGTCAGTATCACGAAGATTTTTCTGTGAGGTACTCTTACTGTTTTTGATACTGCTTCCTTGATTCTGGGTTTGAATGTATAATTTAGGACATTTCTTAGAGAGCCCAACATCCTTTGATCCGTTAAGTGAAGAAGTGTAGGGGAAAGAAACAGGACTCTGTAAGGATGCATAATGACTCTCAATGGACTGTGCAGGCTCTGTAAGGTGCTATAGGTGAAATGAGTGAGAAGGTTGCTGTTTAGTAATTGAATGAGCAGAACTTGAGCAGAACTTAATGAGGATGAGGAAAAGCTAAGTATTTCTTAAGGATAAATTAATGCTTGTGGAACTTAATGACATCAGTGAGTTGTGTTAGGACAAAAAAAATACTCATCTGCCTGTTTAATGGTTTCCAGTAACACAAATGAGATTTAACTATTTAATAATATCCCTTTGCATTATTGCCTTCCTAAAATCAGCCAGATGTGCATCACAGTGTATCTTAGTAACATGCCCACTGTGCTGATGGTGCAGAGATGCGGTAACTAGGCCCATGTTGGAGACCACAGCTGAAGCTTGCCAAAGGAATGCAACAAGACAATTGTGTAAATGGGCCACCTACCAATTTATTCAGTTAAAATTCTCCTGCTCTCATGAATACCACTGTAGCATGTAATGACCTACAATGCTTCTTTGTACCCTTCCAAAATACAGTCACAAACCAAAACCAATTTTTTGGGGGGGTGGGTGGGAAAAAGAAGCTAGTTCAGGGTCTCTGTCAGTTTCTTACTGTGGTGGTTATGAATTTCATTCACGTGTACTTCCCCCCAACAAATGGATGATGTGCTTGTCCATTCTGCTTTTTGTGTAAAATGTGAGGGCAGGTGAAGTGCTCAGACTCTCAAGACTTTTTCTTATTGGCAGAAACTAATCAGTGTTCTCAGAAAATACTTTCATAGTAGTAGCTTCTGAATTATCTGAGAGATACGGTTCAATACATCTTTCTATTGAATGTGAGAAAGTTACACAGTTATTTACTGTCGGATTAATCTTTCATGAACAAAATCATAGTGAGGGAGATTTGATAACATTTTGGCTCCCTCCCAGACCTAACAAATTAATTCTTCTATATTTTTGCTGTGAGGTAGAAATCAAACTGCTTTGCTTCTGTCATTGTTCAGAATACCTTGCTCACAGTATTTTATTAAGAAACCATTCAGCATATCTAGAAGTCGTCTGATTATTTCTTGTGTGGATTTATTTAAAAAGAGCACCTTCACTAATAACTACAAGGAAAAGAATATGTTCAGAGCTTAGTGATACTTCATCATCATTTGATAAATTACAAGACCATTGCTCTCCTCCCCTAGAATGAATGAGGGCATCCATAGGTTAATTTATCTTCTTAGTGGCTAAGGTTGTTCTTGTGCTGGGAAGTAACCAAATGCCCAAGAACTTCATTTCCTGCATCAGCCTTTCTCCTAGACATCTACCATGGGGAGAGCCCAAGCTGCCTGGTGTACAGATTTCATGAGATGTCCAGCTCCTGGATGCAAACATAGTATCACACACTTCTTTTTTGAAGCACCTCTTTCATGAGAATTAATTAAAACCTCCAATACAATGGTGCTTCATGGTTGAAACCCACCATTAACCAATAGCAGAAGAGTTTTCTGTTGTAGTTAATGAACCTTTACAAGCAATTTTATAGCAATTTCAGGTTATTTGGTAACTGACTGGGGTGTATTTCATGTACTGCAGGCTTATTAACTTAATCAGAAGTTTCAGTGTGAAGGCAGGACTTTCAGTTGCCAGAGATCCCACTAAATAATCAGTGCTGCCTTCTGATAACAAGATCTGTAGAGTTTTCTAATTCGTCAGTGGGTCGGGTTTTCCTTTTTTTAATTTCTTTTTTTATTTACTCCCCAAACACTACCATTTATCCTCCTGTCATTTCATAACCGAAAATGATCTATTCTATAGCAGTTCACTGTTCCTTGGGAGAGTCATATTTCTCTATTTATGTATCTGTGTAGACACTGCAGAATAAATATCAAGAAATACTACGTATTCAAATAAAATGTGCAATTTTATATTTCTCACACATTTTATATTATTATTTGTCTCTAAATTGCCTAGAATTATATAATTGAAAACTTTGAATCTTTCGTGAATTTACATGTGAAAACCAAGCAAACTTTTATGAAAAAACAAGAATAATTATGCTATCCTTCTGTAGAATTTACTTGAAGCGATGACAAAGTGTACAGGAAGGGAGGATGGAGCACATTTTTATACTTTGTCCCTCTTTTATGCCGATAATGCTCTTCTTTCTGTTGTACTTCTTCCTACCCCACAGCCCATTTCCATTCCCAAGTCTTCCTTTCTCTTTTCCTTAGTGGGATGATGTTGTCACTGTCTTGCATTCCTGTTGTTTCTCCCTGTCTATAGCTATCTTAACGACTTGGACCGCATAGCAGATTCCACCTATCTGCCAACTCAGCAAGATGTGCTCAGAGTTCGGGTCCCAACAACAGGGATCATTGAATATCCGTTCGACTTACAAAGCGTCATTTTCAGGTAGAAGAAAAGTTTTAACACCCACTTGTTTTGTTTCTTTTGTTTCCTTTTATATTAGTAATACCATGTATAGGTTATTAGTTAAAAGTACATAAAAAACAATTACTCTGTGTTTTTAAAATTTGAGCTTGGTCATTATATTTTCATGTAATTGTCCGCATACAATAAGGAGCTGATGTTAAAGATGTCAAAAGGATGAAAGACAGTCAGGTTTGTCTTTTTGTCTGAACGTCATTATTACTGATAGAAAATCTGCAATTCACCTTTTCCATAATATATATTTCAAAATTTCACTATGAATAATTATCTGAAAATACAATCATGTGTCCTCATAATTCATGTAAGTTATGGAATACAAAATTACCACTTGTGTAGTTGATGTTTAGAGAGAAATTACTCTCCTTTAGAGAGAAAACGCCCTACTTGAGTGCAAGTACTGTTGTTTAAAAAATAACTATGCAATTGCAATTGCAAGTTAGACACCTGTGTTTAGTTACACTGAGACACAGGATGAAGTGTGTGCTGTGAGCAAATTTGAGCTTTAATTTTGGCTCTTAAAAGTTGTAGTAGATACATACCGTGTTCTGTTTGTCCTCTTAAAATGGGGAGCTTTAACAAGTTGGGAATTTTGACTCTGGCAATTTGCAGGGAAAAAGGCAGACCACCAAGTCTATTCTGTTCACATCTGTTTCTGCTGAATACACAGGGCATACACTGCTGAATCATGGCTCATAAGATCTTTGTATTTCAGAAATCTGAGGGGTTTGAGACCTACAATAATTTAAATAGAGACATCAGACTTAAAAGCCAATATGATTAACTGTCTACTTGCAACAGATTCCATTAATTACCAATGGAAAAAAACATTAAGAAAACCAAATTCAACTAAATTCTTGAATTTTGTCATTGTGTGTGCTTCTGTGTTTATCTGTTACGGTATTCATGGAGTTGATGTGGATGTTAATTTTGCAGAATGGTGGATGTAGGAGGCCAACGATCAGAAAGAAGGAAATGGATACATTGCTTTGAAAACGTCACATCTATCATGTTCCTAGTAGCTCTTAGTGAATATGATCAAGTGCTTGTGGAATCAGACAATGAGGTAAGGAAGCATCAGTAAAAAGCACCAGTTTTAAAGAAAAAATAACTTCACTTGTCCAGTCCCAGGTGTTTTCCAAATGCATCTACCAGCAGCCATACACACCCAGTGGAGTGAGAAGCACCACAGGGATCGAGAGGGGAGGAGGGGATCAGTCTTCAAATACTGCAAAGCTGATCTGCTCCATGGATGATTCAAAGAAACGTATCTATTTTGTGTTGAAGGGGAATATAGTTGAATTTTGAGAAATGTTCTTAGTGTACCTATTGTGGAGTTAGTATTATGTAGCAGAGCCACAAAAATAGGCAGTGGAAATTAAGACAAAATGTATAGATTCTTTGCTAGAAGAGACCCTAAAGTAGTAAACTTAATTCCTTTGACTTAAAACATAGGATGCATATTGTATTTTTATTTCAAAAAATAACAGAATAAGGAAATGGATGAGCTGAGGGGGCAAAGCACACTAGTATCCAGTACTTTGAATGCAGTTTTATAGAGTAGGGAGATTATTTAATGTTTAGGGGTTTTTTTGTCTTTTCTGAGGACTATTTGAAGTTGTTGATCAAACTGAGTTACTCACCGGCACTGTCCTATGCAATTCTTTTAACACATACTTACAAAAGATAGGTGAAAAAAAGAAAATATTTGAATGTTCTTCATGGCTGCATACATGTTGATTTCACTGTTTAAGAGTATGGTTGACATAACAAGGTAAAACAAGTGTCCCTGGACATGCATGTTTGTATGCTGAACCTTTTCAGGATTCATGTTTTAATAAAGCCTGGGAGCTCTGAAAGCTTTTACACTTCTACGCTTTCCATAAAAGAAAAATATCGTTACATTAGTTACATAATCAACTACATAATTCAAAGCTGAATTTACAAAAATGATGATGTAATCAGGACCAACTTCATCTCTTGTAATTTTGGAAGCTAGACACGTGTAGATAAAAAGAGAACTCAGTTATCTTGGCTTATTTCAAGCCAAGCCAGAAATGTCTGGTTCTATTTTTTTCTGTTTGCGTTATTCTTTTGTAGCCACAAAGTCAACACAGAAGTATTAAGCATTTTAATTATACAAGTCAAACCAAAATATATTGGAAATCACATAGAGAAAAATTAGTTATGATAATTTTCAAATGCTATTCTGATTATCCAAGAAAAACTTCCAAACTTCCAGAGTTAGCTATTTATCACTGTGTTTTCATACTGTCTTTCTCATAGGGAGAAGTTCTCATAGGAACTGTCTCACAGAGGGAGGTTTACCAGACTCTGGTTCCCTATTAAGTGTATCCTGTTCTAGTTAGGTGGCTTTTTCAGACCCTTGCTCTGGTTTGTTAGATAAGGTCAGTGGGCAGATCGTGACTTAGAGTGGAAGATGGAGCAGTATCTTCCTAGGCTGAACCATGTGGAGTATACAATCTTGCTCTGTGTTCTCATAAGCTAAAAGGGTTCACGTGTTGTGAACTGAATAGAACATCTGACTGAAGATTTCCTTTACGTTTTGGGCTCTCCAGTGACTGAAGTGATGCCTAAAGTCATGATAGCTTTTCTATAACAACTATTATGAAAAAGATCACTTCACTCAAAAGCTGTTCTGATTTTTCAAGTTTTCACTTTCGAAACGCTTTGTCGTGGCAAAAACTATAAAACTCCTCATTGTCTTGCAGATGGTTCTTCCACCTTGCTGCTAAACTATTTATGTTTCTTAACAACAGCAGAAAACTTCTGAACCTTTTTGTCTTTCCATTTAAAATACGTTCATAACTTTACTTCAAACCAGGTTTTGTTTTCCAGTAGCCTTAGGCCTGTGTTGCTCTAGCTCTGGGATGGATCCAGACTGCCTTAGAGCTAAGCACCTATCTAGGCAGCTTAGTTCTGGCTGTCGGCAAGCTGTAGCCTGTCTGTCTAGATTTTGTTGGTATACCAGAGCACTTCTTTCTTTCCTTCCTTTTCTCTCCCCTGTATCTCCAAACATTGCAGTCCCAGAATGCATGGGAAAAGAATGCGTTTATTTATTCTGCATAAAGCAAAGTGTAGTTTGTCTGAATGTGGGTGTGGCAGAAACATGGGAAAAGGTTTTGAATGTGTTGATGCCTTGAATTAAGACATTTACCTCCCAAAAATATTTTTGTTCTTCACTGGGGTGTGACAAGCTCAATCGGGAAGACCATAATTTAATTTGGAGACTTTGATAATCAGCCAAGAGATACTTTTTCGCACTTACCTTTAAATTGTGAAACAGTATTAAAATTTTAGCACCAAAGTGAGAGAGTGTGTGTAAATGCCCTACTTTCTTCGTATGTATGCCAACAGTGTGATACTATGATAGAATCTAATCCTTCTTTGATCTGCGTGCCTTTTACTGAAATTAAAATATCTGACTCGACAACTTGCAGCATTCTGCTACTCCCTTTGCATTGCTTTCATGGCCTGATTAAACGGTATGATTTTTGTAAGATGGCCTACTTTCTTCTTCTAATTAGTCCACTGCATGTTACTGCCTGAAGTCTTTTTCCTCGTAGTATGTTTTTACAAAGAAAACCATACTTTTTAATCATCTGTGGCATTCTTTTTAGTTAATACATTTTTTCATTAATCTCATTCGCATGAATAAACATAAATCTGTAAGAATTATTATTTGCCATTCGGTGCGTGTCTGTTTATATGACCCTTCATCATTATAAAACTGGTTTTAGAGCCCTTAAGACTCTTGATTTGTATTTCAAAATGTAGTGCCTGATACCTCAGTTGTAAATCCACTTATTCCCTTGTTTAACTTATTCAAGAGAAATACATTTGGGTTATAAATCAGATGAGGCTCTACTGAGTTGAGAGGCTTTGCTAGTGTCTCTCAAGGGCTTTTACTCATTGGGTATATGTGGGATTGAGCTGGGAACTGTTTCTGTCTTCATGCCCTTGGAGGAGTTAAGTATTAAAAGTTCTGAGGCATATAACTACTTTGTAAGGGGACACCATACATAAAAAAAATAAGACGAGTGTTCAGACTGCCTGTTATTCAGAGTCCCGTGTAGGATGACTCTTAAATGATATGTCCATGAAATTGCACTCCCATGACAAAGATCTGCAGCTAAAGAGTTGGGGGCTTCAATCCCTGAAGAAAAGCATGCATGGCCACCCAACTGTATTTTAACTGTGATTCCTCTAGCAGGCAGTACTCAGAAACAACGTCATCTCTCCTCTCTTACATGTCTAGATTGTACATAACTAAGTATCTGATTTTGGTGCATAAATACAAAATGACACTATTGGTAAAGACAGTATATTTAAACATGTCTTTCAAAAATTTCAGATGATGTACAGTTTTGAAATGCCTTTCTCTTCTTCAATACATGTAAAAGGAGAGATAGCTAACTGTTCCAAATTCTGCCCTTAATAAAACAGTAAGTCTGTCTAGGTTCATTGGTGAAAATGAGGACAAAATTGATCCAGAGGACATAATACACTAATTACATTAATAGTACTGTAAATTAAGTAAATTGTCCCTCAGTGTGATATGATGTGACGAAGGAGAACATGTTATAAGTTAAATTATCAGATGTTTGACCTTTTCAGTTTCTCAGAGAAGTCTGATAGAATTAGAGGTGAGATAAAAAATGAAGGAAGTGTCTCTCTGGTAGATTAATTTATGATGTATTATGTCATCCAGGTCAGGCTTTTGCTCTGAATTATATCAGCAGATGTGGAGAAATTTGCAGTTTTATCAAAACACACAGTTTAAAACTTTTCTGTTTTTAAAATCAACTTGTTTTCTTTAAAAAAGAATTTTTTTTCTAGATAAAGTATATTAATCCATATTCCAGGACATGCTGCATTTAATTATGCATCACAGGTAGCTTTTCTAAACATATAAAATCTCATGGTCTCAGTGCAATAAATGCAAAACCAAGTTCCAGCTTTGTAAGAGAACCAGTAACCACTTGCAGTTATGGAAGGACTAGAGACATCACAGTGTATACCTATAAAATCTGGTTTCATAAAAAACAGATTTTCATTATCTTTGTAGAGCTTGTTAAGCACTTGGAAATGGCAAAATAAAGCACAGTATTTATTGATGCTTCTACATATTTTTTCTTCTGCATTAGCACACTAAAGGTCTTAAGGCACATATGATTTCATATAACTTGTATAGATCTGTGGCAGTTATGAAAATGTGGGCTTTTTACAGGTAGAGATCTGTGTTCCCAGAGGAAAAAACAGAAAAGACAGCATACAATTTCCTCAGTTCAGCTAAATTAATGGATTAATAGCCTACGTGAAATTTTGAAATTTTCTAACCTATCAAAAAGCAAATATTGTCTTCTGTGAGGTATCGTCAGAGGCTGCAAAGCTACAGAGCATTGGTCAGCATAACGTATTCATTGATGAAAGATAATTTTTATAACTAAATCAGTATGAGTATTCTGAACATCCATTGCACAAAATATATTGCCTGAAAAATGCCAGTTTAGATTGTTTTGGTCAAAGCTGATATCTTTTGGTTTAAAAAAAAGAATAGAAAAACAATTGTAAAATGTGATGGTTTAACAGGATTGGAGATAAATGTTGATAATATTTACAACTAATACTCCTTTGACATTGACCTTTGAGTAAGGAATTTCACTAATGCCCAGCATTATAAATGCATACTATGTATTCTATACACGTACAATATCTTACATGTGCATCTCTATGCCTTAGAAAAACAATGTTTTTTTCATTGTTTTACTTGTTAAGCAATTTCTTTTCATTGATGAATGAAACCATGTATAAAAGAGTCATTGAAGTGTCTCTTCCTTTGTTAAAATAGTAAGAAAAATTTGTATTTCATAGGTCGTTTATTTGCTCGTTTTCACTGACCTTGAATAACAAAGCAAATAGAACCCATTTTACTGTTAAGGTCTAATTAGTTTATATATCCTATCCAGACAGGTAATTTGCAACCCTTTTTTTAAGAGCTTTATTAAGAACCATCATTGGTTCTTTCTAATCAGAAAAGGAGGA